TATTATAATATTCAAGATAATAACCAAAACTTGCAAAATTTCCTTAAAATTACCAATTCAGGGACAGCAACCCAACAATGGGTCGTGTGATGCGTCTGACAATTTCAGGGCAGATAGATCTTGACCTAATGAACAATTTTACTCCTTCTCAGATTTGTTCTAAATGCTTTAGTTTCAGACATATAAGCCAAAAACTGCATTTTACCCCTATGTTCTGTTTTTAGCCATGGCGGCCATCTTGGTTGATGGGCGGGGGTCATCGGATACATTTTTTTAAACTAGATACCCTAAGAATGATTTAGGCCAAGTTTGGTTTAATTTGGCCCAGTAGTTTCAGAGGAGAAGATTTTTGTAAAAGTTAACGGACGAAGACGACTGACGACGACGACGACGACGACGGACGACAACGGACGCCAAGTGATGGGAAAAGCTCACTTGGCCCTTTTGGGCCAGGTGAGTTAAAAATGAGGCGATGTGGTATGACTGCCAATAGAACAGTTATGAAAAGGCCAAAGGACAAAGATAAGATGGAATCTATGACGGGTCACCACACGGCCTTCAACAATGCGCAAATATCTTAAAATAAGCAACATAAAATTCGCAAGTATTGTAACAGAATTGGCTATAAATACCTTATCTATTTATACTACAGTTACACGACCTCATTATGTTAATGAGATATACGTGCTATGATAAGACATGCATTGTATACTGTGTATTGCCAGTTTTAGGAACATCTATATTAACTTCTATGTTCTCCGGTTCATTAAACGGTTTGTATTGTTCATTTGTTTTTCGTACGGCTCGTTGGTTTCGGCGTATCATTTGTCCATTTTCTTTTCTAAGGTCGTATGACCTTGCGCTGTGGGTGTTCGTGACAATTCCTTTTTCCCACAGTTTCTTATTTTCCGGCGCGATTCGGACAATATCTCCGCGTTTGAGTTGTTTAAGATCACTCGCACCGCGGTTTGAGTAAACTAGATTTGGTTGGTAGCAGTGTTCGTGTTCTCCTATTCATAAGTTGTTGAGCCGGGCTATAGTTTGTAAATTGTTGAGGAGTGTTTCGATAATTTAAAATCGCGATTAAAGGATCAGATTGCGACTTTTTGGCTTTTTTCATCAAACGCTTTGCCGTTTTCACCGCGTTTTCCACCTTTCCATTCGATTGTGGATGTCTTGGGCTTGAGGTGATATGTTTAAAGTCTCATTTCTCACTGAATTTGTCCGAGCAAACGAATTGTGGAATTCCGTAACGCGCAATGTGTTGTTTCAACTTGTTGATTACTGTTTTTGATGTAGGGAAAACGGTACTATTACATTTTCCCAGCATTAGGTTGGTCTTTTGTGTACCCAAGGCAGGTGAAGGAAGTCAACTTAGGAGCGCTGTGATTGGATGTTAGGGTACAATATATTTTTTTATTTATCTATGAATAACTGCAGTGTGTATATTTACAATATAAATTTTGAAACCTATTGAAATATTTTCTAGAGAATTATTCGAAAAGACTTCAAAAATTTCATAAATTTGGTGTAAAATGACGGTGGGCATGGATAACATTAACAAGCTCCATTGGAAGTTGGTCATGATACTATTTGGCTTCAATTTTCAAAACAGAATAATAAAGTACTAACACCACACATAACTGTTTTATCGGGGTTTTTATTATAAAAAGTGGTAAATTTAGAAAATGTTAGTATTGTCGCCTATGGCAGAATAAATAGTACCGTTTTCCCTATACTGAAGATAGCAAGGGAAATCAAAATCAATCAGACTTCAGTTAAAGTAAACTATTTTGAAGCTTTTGGTTAGTACATTTGATTTTTATCACAAAGAATAGAATTTTTTCACTGAGAACAATACTGTGTTGAGAGAAGTGCTGAGTCATCATAATAAGTCAAATTGATGGGTACTGATATAAAACTTTATTCTAGGATTTCAATATTAACTATATTGTATAAAATGCACCAAACTATAGTTCTTTTGTATTTGTTTTCACCTTTCGCAATGATTAATTCAATTGGAAACACCAGAATTCAAGTCGCGACAAATATTTTTAACTGAAATATTTGCCTTTTTTGCTGTGTAATTCCCTAAATGTATCACTTGGGTATTTCTGTAGACATAATCTATTCAAATGGGAAATTGTCTGGTTAAGTTTGTACTGTTTATGGAGTAAGGCAACATTTGGTCATACTAGAAGCATTTTCAGTGTTAAAATTGTCCATTTAAGGAAAAAAGAGGCCCACTTGAGGCTAAATTTAGATAGAATTTATACTCTCCTGTGTAAAGAATTGGTCATATTCTTGGCAATTCATGCAGCAAATATTTCAATAGTGCTTCATTTTGTAGTTTCTATCTTTTATTATATCAGGCATATATAATTTTTCATTTTCTACTGTTTGAAAGGACTTTTGTTGGAAATTAATACTCCAAAGGGACATAATTCAGCTTTTTCATAGATTAATACAGGCAACAAAGGCAACTTTACAGCTGAGTATTTTGCATATTTAATGTTGAAAGTGTCTAATATCTTTGTTCTCATCATCTCAAGACAGAATAATGGATTTTATAACAAGCTCTGAAATTTTGAACCACAGTATGGCATATACTAAAGCATGGAATGGAGATTAGTATGAAAAATCTTGAGTTTGTGCTTATGTTGTAAATTTTAGATGAAATGAATACAAATTGAATGGAACTGTTATTTTTATCTGTTTAAATGGAACTGTTTATTATTCTTTTTAAATAAGATAAGATATGATTGGATACAGGTTGTTTATTAAGCCTTATCTGAAAGAAGTAGAGAAAGAGGTAAACCAGCATGTAGGGGTGGGGACATTAAATGATCCATGTTTCTTTAAGTAATGGGAACATACAAGTATTTATTATAGCCAAGGTTTTCACAATAACCCAGTATTGCATTAATGGTGTCAAAAGAATTCTTTATATCTTTATGTCACAGTATAGGGAAAACGGTACTATTACATTTTCCCAGCATTAGGTTGGTCTTTTGTGTACCCAAGGCAGGTGAAGGAAGTCAACTTAGGAGCGCTGTGATTGGATGTTAGGGTACAATATATTTTTTTATTTATCTATGAATAACTGCAGTGTGTATATTTACAATATAAATTTTGAAACCTATTGAAATATTTTCTAGAGAATTATTCGAAAAGACTTCAAAAATTTCATAAATTTGGTGTAAAATGACGGTGGGCATGGATAACATTAACAAGCTCCATTGGAAGTTGGTCATGATACTATTTGGCTTCAATTTTCAAAACAGAATAATAAAGTACTAACACCACACATAACTGTTTTATCGGGGTTTTTATTATAAAAAGTGGTAAATTTAGAAAATGTTAGTATTGTCGCCTATGGCAGAATAAATAGTACCGTTTTCCCTGTAGTATCACCTAATCTGATAATTTCAAAATAACTGCTAAAATATTCCACCGTAATCAAGTAATCGTGATCGTTTAACGAGAATAGATCTGTCCCTACTTTAACCCAAGGTCGGTCTAGAATAACATGTGACACTAGAGTCTCTTTTTGTTGTTTCATTCCGTATGACTGACACGTTTCACATTTGCTGATGTAATCTCGGATTTCACTATTCATACGCGGCCAATATACACATTCACGGGCTCTTTTTAAACAGCCTTCTATTCCGATATGTGTATGGATTTGTTCTAAAATTTCGGTCCGCATTCACTTAGGAATTACACAACGGTCCCCTTTGAAAATAATTCCACCTTGTATCGACAGTTCGGATGTGATAGTACGGCGCAATATCCTGTTGAATATATCTCTGTCCATCCTTTAGCTACCTTGTCGATAAGTTTGAGTAATATAGGGTCTTTCATTGTCGCGTCGGCAATATCTTTCTGGCGTTTTGCTGATATTGCAAGGTAATCCCCCATGTTTATATTTTCTAGTTCCATTTCAATGTCCGATCTAACATGACATATCTACTAAAACTGACAATCAAAACGAGATGCTAAGCAATTCAAGAGACGAAGCAGAATCGGTACCGTCCGACCCAATGGTTACACGCTACGGGAGAAAGATAGAAAGACCAGCGAAATACAAAGACTTTGTTATGAACTGAATGTACTTTGACTCTAGTTTTAGTGAATAGAAAATAGGACTTTAACTAAAATATTAATTTGAAAGTAATTTGTCAATTCAGAAAATAGACATTCGATTTTGATAGTTAATTTGGTTAATTAATGTTAAAAGTAATATCTGTTATATTCTTATAATTGATTAAGCTTGGTATATTACAGTTAATTTAATTACACTCATTTGACAGTTTAAAATAAGACGTTATCTTATTTTCTAAAAGAGAAAGGATGTTACAGTATTGGCTATAAATACCTTATCTATTTATACTATAGTAACACGACCTCATTATGTTAATGAGATATACGTGCTATGATAAGACATGCATTGTATACTGTGTATTGCCAGTCGCCATTAAATAGTTCTAAGTCTACTTGGATTATATATACATCTTTATGCCTGCAGCCAAATACTGAAATAGGTATGACCAAAATGTGAATTATTTCAAACGGGGATATCAACGGTCTAGTTTATTCAACAAAAATGAACGAAAAATTAATATTCCAGACAGTAATGAACGTAAACCGTTGGATTTTAGTTTCCTGGGTTGGTATGTAAACAAAGAATGTGGCGTGTAAACATGCTCAAACAACGCTTAATCCTCCATAAAAACCGTAAATTGGTGTACTATTAATAAAACAACATGAGAGCAATCTGTGACAACATCTGTTGTAAAGGTTTAATTTTGGCAGATACACACACACATCTTTGCCTCTATGATACACTATGTATGCTCTAGTATGAAATTCATATAATTCTGCTGTTGAATAAAGTGTCTTAGTAATTCTTTTCTTAATTACTTAGTACTCGGTCATTATTTTGTTAAATTCTTTTTATATACAACATGTGCTTGGATATCAAGTGAAATTCTACTTACCTACGGGACTATAAAGGAGGTTCCATTGAGAATCACTTAATAATTTATCTTTTTTTAATTCCAGCACTGTTTGTTTTTGATGATTCAGTGTTTGTTCTAGCTTGGATGGTTTAAAAGTTCTATCAAACTGTTTTCTTACTGCTTTCGATGCAACCGTCAATAAAAGGTGAACAACTCTAAGATAATAAGTTTCCTTTTGTGTGACATCACTGATATATCTGCAGCTGTAACGGAAATATGTCATTTTAAATAGACACAAAAACTCCTTTTTTTCCACAAGATTATAGAAATAAATGGAAGAATCTATAAATAGTGCGATGACTAAGAACCGATTTATCTTTATTTAACTCCCCACCGAACATACAATTACATAACATATCACTTGAAAGACGAAACTTTGTACTATAAGAATGTGGCTGTTGTTATGATCAGAAATGGTCACATTTTCATAAAAACTAAGGCTAAATAGATATAGGAAGATGTGGTATGAGTGCCAATGAGACAACTCTCCATCCAAGCTACAATTTATAAAAGTAAACCATTATAGGTCAAGGTACGGCCTTCAACACGGAGCATTGGCTCACACCGAACAGCAAGCTATAAAGGGCCCCAAAAAATTACTAGTGTAAAACCATTCAAACGGAAAAACCAACGGTCTAATCTATATAAAAATGAGAAACGAGAAACACGTATGAACTACATAAACAGACGACAACTACTGTAATCAGATTCCTGACTTAGGACAGGTGCAAACATTTGCAGCGGGATTAAACGTTTTAATGGCACCAAACCTTCTCCCTTTTCTGAAACAATAGTATAACATCACAACATAGAAAAACACACTATAAAATATCAATTGGAAGGCTTAACTAAATCAAAAAACGTAAATTAACACACAATGAACGAATAAATTTGACCTTTGACACCTGAATGCAAATACACAGTTAATAAAAAATTACAAGGGATAAATAACTAAAGTCAAAAGTAAATAAACAGGTTTAAACATAGTTAAAGTATGATATCACTGTGAAATTTCAAACAATTTATAGAAAATCATCACTTTTGAAGAAACCTGCGTCATATTATACACAGGTAAATGAAAATAATTTTGTTGTTAAGTATACTTCTTCTTCTGTGTGTATAAAATCTTCCGTTTAGGAATACCAAGAAATTTCTTTAATATCAATAAAACTAATCTAACACTTGGTACATATGGGGTGAATATCAACAATAAAAATATACAATTAGTGCTAGATAAAACTTCCTGTACAGGTCCAAGAACAGCATCTAAGGAAAAATGAAATAATTTTGATGTTCATTGTACGAAAAAGTGAAAATTTGTAGTAATTAAATACCAAATAATCAAAGCTGGTATATAGACAAGATCTATGTTAACATTAAATAATTTAATTTTCGATGTAACGCGTCTTATGATTGGCTGACGTTGTTTTGTTTATCAGCTCATAGACATAATTTTGTCATGTGACCGCGACGTCATCAACGTTTTTTCATGGTTTACTCAGGTTTCAAATGGAATTTAGAATTAAATTATAAGAAATGACTGTAATATTTTTTCTGTCTATTCGAAATAACATAAAAAATGTGGTGCACACTTTAAAATAACCCGCTACGCGGGTTATTCAGTGTGCACCACATTTTTGATGTTATTTCTTCATAGACAGAAAAAATATTACAGTCATTCCTTAAATAACAAAAAAGCATTACAAATAGTATCAACAGGTCAAATTAAAAAGAAAGTACGATTTGAGAGTACTCGCAGTTACTGTTAAAAGCCAAAACAATTAATAATAAAAAAATCATGCATCAGAGACTACAAATACCAATTTTACAAATCATAAATTTATAATTTGGTACTTTTCTTGACAACAACATACTAGATATTTGATAACAAAAAAATTCTTAAATCGACATTTTTGATTACAAAACTCAAAATAAAAAGTCGAAATGACACCGACCTTGCAAAACTACCTACATTTCACGTAAAATATTATTTCTCAAGTACAATACTATAAATGTATTTTCTAACATAACAAAGTAAGGTTAAATGACTTCATATTTTGCTGATTTTGTCACATTTATTTTCAGCAAAGATTTGTTTTGTTTTTGTGAATAAAATTAATGACATTTTTATTGTTATTATAAGCCTAAGAAATATTAAAAATTTACAATTCTAACATGACGTTCTTCAAACGCTTTGAATACACACCCGTGGTAAAATATGCATAAATTGTTTGGGCTGTTCCGATCGTACTCCCGCTTCATATGCTTTTTTATGAATGAGCTACCCGACGTCATAGAACGATGACGTAAGAATATAAGCATTTTACGGGAAAATACACGCTTGTGAAACCTAAAATCATCACAACAAGGAAACGTAAACAAACGATGCTAAAATGTGTTATATAAGCCATTTTTTTGTTAACATATAAGACATATAAATACAATTATCATTTAGATTCATCCAAACCTATCTAAATATGTCATTGTAAACACATTAGAAACTTTATGGTTAGAGGTAGCATTTCCAAAATCTAAACCTTTCTTCATTTGTACTGTTTATAGACCACCAAATTCCCTTCAGTCCTGGATAGATCTTTTTGAGGAGAAATTTAACGCAGCTCTTTCAGAAAACAAAGAGATCATTTTAATGGGGGACTTTAATATTGACTTGATAAAAATTGAAAATAAAAAATGGATGAATTTCATAAACCATTTTAATCTTCAACAACAAATTTGCACTGCAACACGTATTTGTGACAAATCAGAAACTCTTATTGATCATATTTACACTACTAATCCTAAAATATTGCTCATTGTCATGTTCCTTCATATGCTTTAAGTGACCACTACCCTGTATGCTTAAACAGAAAAATCAATATAAAGGTAAAGAAAGAAAATCATATCGAAATAAAGTATAGGTGTTTCAAAAACTTTAATGAGGATGCCTTTTGTGCAGACTTACATCAAACCCCTTTTCATATTGTTGAAATGGAAGAAGATATTGATATTTCTGTCGACAAATGGTATGAACTTTTTAATCAAGTTATTAACAAGCACGCACCAATGAAAACTAAAAGAGTAAAAACATTTAAACAAGCCGAATGGTTCAATGAAGAAATTAAAAATTCCATTCAATACAGAAATATGTATCATTCAAAAAAAGATTGGGTAAACTTTAAAAAGTGGCGTAATAAAACAACGTCGTTAATATTTAATGCAAAAAAGGAATATTATCAAAACGCTATATCTAGTTCCAAAAATAGTAAAGAACTTTGGAATCACATTAAAGAGTTAAATCCAAAAATGGATAATATTTTTCCACCAAAAATGCAGTATGAAAATCAAACTGTCTATAACCCCAAAGATATTGTTAATACACTAAATGTTCATTTTTCTTCCGTAGCTGAAAAACGTATTGGAAATATTACTTCAGATATGGATTTTTCTAAGCTACAAACTTTTACTAGTACAAAATTAAAGGAAATTGAAATTTTTAAATTAAACATCATTTCTGTTGGAGAGGTGTGTTCACAACTAAAACACCTTAATATTAATAAATCCGCAGGTTTAGATGGAATTGGTCCAAAACTTTTAAAGCTAAGTGCAGAGATAATATCGCCATCATTAACTTTTCTAATAAACAAAAGTATAACGTCGAATGGTTTTCCGCAAAAAATTTAAACTTGCAAGAGTAACTGCTATACATAAAGGAGGACCAACAGATATTCCCTCCAATTATCGTCCAATTTCTATTTTAAATACCATATCTAAAGTTTTTGAGAGACATGTATGTACACAGTTATATGCATTCTTAAATAATAAAAAATTGTTACATATCGCTCAGTCAGGTTTCAGGCAAGGCCATTCATGTCAAACAGCGCTGACTAAACTAATTGATGAATGGTTAAAATATTTAGACAATGGAGAAATAGTTGGTACTGTGTTTTTAGATTTCAGTAAGGCTTTTGACCTTATTAACCATGCCATACTTTTAGAAAAGTTAAAATTTTATCATATCGGAGAACATTCGATAGATTGGATAAAATCATATTTGTCTGAGAGACAACAAGAAGTTCAATACGCTAACATTAAATCTGATAAATCGTTTGTAAAATATGGAGTGCCTCAAGGTTCTATTTAATGTCCTCTGTTATTTTTAATTTATATAAATGATTTACCACTTCATGTTAAACAATCCGACATGGATTTATATGCTGATGATTCAACATTGCATTTTCATAATAAAAACATAAACAGCATATTGCAAAATGATTTAAATGCTATACAATCTTGGTGTAACAATAACAGTATGAAAATTAATGCACAAAAAACAAAGTGTATGAAATTGGGTTCAAAACAAAAACTTACACAACTATCAGAATTATGTGTTACCGTCAATGAAACATGTATTCAAAATGTCCATTCTTTCAAATTACTTGGAATTGACATTGATGAAAATTTAAGCTGGGAGGATCATGTTGATCGTATATGCAAGATTATCTCATCTAAAATATCACTTTTGTTTAAAATTAAAGTATATTTGCCTATACACACAAGACAACTATTTTATAATGCATATATTCTACCATATATAGACTTTTGTAGTTCAGTTTGGGGAAATTTATTACAAAAAGATTCAGATAGAATCATAAAACTTCAAAAAAGAGTAGCAAGAATTAAACTTGAATGCGATATTTCTGTTCCATCGAATTTTATGTTTTCATCTTTAAAATGGCTATCTTTTACAAAAAAAAATAAAATACCAACAATCAATTCTAATGTATAAAATTGTAAATGGACTAACACCTGATTACTTAACAATGCTAAATATTAATGATGTGCAACACCACAACTTACGATCTGTGTCTATTAATGATCTATTTGTTCCAAGACCAAACACAAATTTTTATAAAAATCTTTTCATTATTCTGCAACAAAGGTATGGAATAATTTACCACTCAAAATAAAAAATTGTCGAAATGTGGAATTATTTAAGAAACATTGTTATAATCATTTTCTTGAAAATTCTATGCAAGTCGAATAATTTGTTTTCTTTCTTTTATTGTAAGAATAAGAAAATTTAATCAAAACTTTACCAATTATTGCCATTTATTGCCATTCGTATGTTTGAATGATTGAATTGTGTATATACTAGTAATATATATTGTATTCTAATGTATGAATCGAATGTATGAATGTTAAC